CTGGCTCCCCAGGGGGAGGCAACAATGTTTGGAGGACAGATTAAAGGGGGGAGAGCTCATTGAGGGAGGGGCTGGCTGGCTAGATGTGTGAGTCTGGCGAGATTGCCAGTCCGGTTGAATTTCCTCACATTCTCTCCCAGTGTGAGAGAGCCTTTGGGTTTTACATCCCTTGTACTTGACTCATGTCCGCTGTTTAGCCCCTCTGCCATGTGAAATAGTAGGCGTTTTACTCCCATCACATATAGACTTAGCTAAAACAATTACTGAGAATGGATTGGGACAAGAATACTCATTTATGTAAGCAGCAGAGCAGCTGCAGAGCAAGTGTATCACATAATTGGCAGTTCAACAGCGGTTTGCCCTTGTGGAAGACTAAGTGGGCACTCCTTCACAGCCTACAATAAAGCCAGCTGTCATTGCTACCATTTACTTTCATCCACTGAGTCTCAACTCAATTGTTATGACTCAGAAATAGCTGTGCTACCTGTGGGAAGGTAAGGTGGGAGCCATAGAATGATAACATTCATTCTCCAACACAGACCCCATAGGTGCAGTTAAGTACAATCTTGTTTTCATAATAAGATTCACAATAATTATTATTCTTGTGATGTTAACCTCCCGACCCCAGATCACTCAAACACCCAGACGCTAGAGGGTTGATATAGCCAAATTGTTTTGAATTATAATCAACTGCTTTTGTGATGTTAACCTCCCGACCCTAGATCACTCAAACACGCAGATGTTACAGTGCAGATATAGCCCCACTTGCTTTGAGATTAGGATGGACTGGAGACTGATGGTTGTTTTGTTTACCACCTGTGGACTGAGTTCAGAGAATGAAGCATGCCACCCACTGTGAGATGCTGGTGTGAGTGATGGCCTTGTGTGTGTGTGTGTGTGTGTGTGTGTGTGTGTGTGTGTGTGTGTGTGAGTGTGTGTGTGTGTGTGTGTGTGTATGACTGGTCATTTCATTACATGTTGTGATACCAGTATGTGTTGTATGCTCAGGCAGCATGTTAAACCCTCTCTGATGAGCCTAACGACAGATAGGGTGCCGTTAAAGTGTCATGTCCAATAACTGCCACACTTACTCTTCCCTCCCTCTGACATCAGGGCCATCCATCACAGTTGGTTATCTGTGACATAAAGCCTGGTCATGTGGAATGATCACCCCCCTACAACAGGCACATTATAAATGTTTAATAGGTGTTCCAGGCTGATTTTAACCCAAGTTAAGTATCTGACTATAATTTTGTGACCACGAAACATGGCCATGAATGTATGAATGGACTATCTCTGTCCCATTGCCCGCCTGTGGTGATAAGTAAAAAAATCATTCTCCTCTCGGTTCTGCTAAATGTGATTTACAGTCGGGGAAAAAAGTATTTAGTCAGCCACCAATTGTGCAAGTTCTCCCACTTAAAAAGATGAGAGAGGCCTGTAATTTTCATCATAGGTACACGTCAACTATGACAGACAAACTGAGAATTTTTTTTCCAGAAAATCACATTGTAGGATTTTTTATGAATTTATTTGCAAATTATGGTGGAAAATAAGTATTTGGTCACCTACAAACAAGCAAGATTTCTGGCTCTCACAGACCTGTAACTTCTTCTTCAAGAGGTTCCTCTGTCCTCCACTCGTTACCTGTATTAATGGCACCTGTTTGAAATTGTTATCAGTATAAAAGACACCTGTCCACAACCTCAAACAGTCACAATCCAAGACCAAAGAGCTGTCAAAGGACACCAGAAACAAAATTGTAGACCTGCACCAGGCTGGGAAGACTGAATCTGCAATAGGTAAGCAGCTTGGTTTGAAGAAATCAACTGTGGGAGCAATTATTAGGAAATGGAAGACATACAAGACCACTGATAATCTCCCTCGATCTGGGGCTCCACGCAAGATCTCACCCCGTGGGGTCAAAATGATCACAAGAACGGTGAGCAAAAATCCCAGAACCACACGGGGGGACCTAGTGAATGACCTGCAGAGAGCTGGGACCAAAGTAACAAAGCCTACCATCAGTAACACACTACGCCGCCAGGGACTCAAATCCTGCAGTGCCAGACGTGTCCCCCTGCTGAAGCCAGTACATGTCCAGGCCCGTCTGAAGTTTGCTAGAGTGCATTTTAATGATCCAGAAGAGGATTGGGAGAATGCCATATGGTCAGATGAAACCAAAATAGAACTTTTTGGTAAAAACTCAACTCGTCGTGTTTGGAGGACAAAGAATGCTGAGTTGCATCCAAAGAACACCATACCTACTGTGAAGCATGGGGGTGGAAACGTCATGCTTTGGGGCTGTTTTTCTGCAAAGGGACCAGGACGACTGATCCGTGTAAAGGAAAGAATGAATGGGGCCATGTATCGTGAGATTTTGAGTGAAAACCTCCTTCCATCAGCAAGGGCATTGAAGATGAAACGTGTCTGGGTCTTTCAGCATGACAATGATCCCAAACACACCGCCCGGGCAACGAAGGAGTGGCTTCGTTAGAAGCATTTCAAGGTCCTGGAGTGGCCTAGCCAGTCTCCAGATCTCAACCCCATAGAAAATCTTTGGAGGGAGTTGAAAGTCTGTGTTGCCCAGCGACAGCCCCAAAACATCACTGCTCTAGAGGAGATCTGCATGGAGGAATGGGCCAAAATACCAGCAACAGTGTGTGAAAACCTTGTGAAGACTTACAGAAAACGTTTGACCTGTGTCATTGCCAACAAGGGGTATGTAACAAAGTATTGAGAAACTTTTGTTATTGACCAAATACTTATTTTCCACCATTATTTGCAAATAAATTCATAAAAAATCCTACAATGTGAATTTCTGGAGAAAAAAAATCTCATTTTGTCTGTCATAGTTGACGTGTACCAATAAATGAAAATTACAGGCCTCTCTCATCTTTTTAAGTGGGAGAACTTGCACAATTGGTGGCTGACTAAATACTTTTTTCCCCCACTGTATTTAAACCTTTTAGAATCATACTTTTAGAACCTGTTGTTACTGGCCTGTTTTATTAATTATTGAGTTGCAACTTTGAACTGGAAGCATTATAGCCCGGAGAGTTCTATAATGCTATCATTCATTAATTTTCATGGCCCATTAATATCGTTTGACTGTAATTGATACACTCATTAAATTGAACACAAGGCTTACGAATGGCGCACTCATTGTGTTCCAGACACTTACCTCTCAGGCTGTAGTATTGAGTAATAGGGTTTTCCCTCTTCTTCTGACTGGTGCTGGAAGCCCAGGAAATAGGAAGCGTCTCATATCCTGCACTGAGGGCAGAGACAGGTTCTTGGGGGAAGTGGCAGCTGCTTCAATGATCCCATTAGGCCTCAGTAAGTCTGTGTCAGTCACACCACACCTCTCAGGCACCAGAGAACATATGGAGCAAAGTCTGCGTCTGGGCCTGTTTGGCTGAGGTGTCTGATAATATTCTGTGCCAATAAGTGTACTGTAATCTATCCATCCCAAGCCTATTTTGTCCCTCGCAGTAATTTATCTCAATATTGAATTCTCTTTGAATTGTGTAAAGAAAACCTGATTTTCATTGAAAATAATTGGGAATTGCTGCATAAATATATCCAGACTTGGGTAGTTTTATACCAGGCACTTATAAGTGATGTCAACAGCTATAGAGTTCACTTAAAAGAACAAGACAGCCCTCTGCTGGTGAAAAACAAAAACGTGAAATTGCTTTTTAGCTCCATGTTCTCATTACCACCCTCCCAATAACAGTATAGTATTTTCCCTCAGACTACAATTATCTGAGCCAAATAGATTTTCTTCTCCCTACTGTCTAATTTCCAATCACCTCCAAGGTTCCCAGAATTAACACTTGTCTGTTGCTGTGGCTGGCCCAAAAGGGTTGCCGTGGAAACACGGACAATGTAATTTTCGCCCTTGAGGGTCTGGCTGGGTTTTTCCCCTGTAATCTGTTTCCCTGGCCGTCTGTGAGTATGTCTGCACAGATCTGACTTGGTATCATTCTAACCAGGGCACACCTCACTAACCTGAGAGCAGACATGCTCCAATTGGAGAAAAAATCTGGATAAAAACCTATTTTAAAAGGCCAGAGAACGTTGTCACGACCCAGAGCCATAGATGGATATGTACCCCAGAGGGCCGAAGTCTGAGTCATGGTAATATCATGGTGAATAGAAAAGAAGCTCCAGCACACACTGGTGATCTTGATGCTCCATGAAATCTGTGAAGCTGCTGCATCAAGATCACCAGTGTGCTAGTCTCTTTCCAATTTTGTACTGTTTTTATCCATGCACTTGGTAATTCAATAGCCAATAGGTGTTAGGGCTACTTTTTAAATAAGCGTCATGGTGAACAGAACAGACTTGTGAACTACAGGTTGAAAAATATATTCCATCAATACATTTTTAAATACCTTTTATTTCTTCCCTGATAACTTTGAAGACAAATACCAATAATCGGAGAGAAACATCCAACAGTAACGTGCTCTTGAGAGCTGATCTTATAATCATTAAAGTGAAGACAGTGTGAAATCTTTTGTTATACATCAGGTGTAGCAAACCCTCCTCCTGGGTGAGCAGGCTTTTACTCCAGCCATATTATATCCGGCCAATCAAGGTCCTAGAGAGCAACTGATTAGTACAATCAGGTGAGTTATAGTAGGGCTAGAACAAAACCCTGCAGGAGGGTAGCTCCCTGGGAGTGTTGGTCATGCCTGCCCTACAGCTTGATTAAAGAAAAACTCCACCCAGATATTTTGGTATTTGTTTCATTAGTCCATTGTTGACATAGTTCCTAAATGTTTTGCTTGTCAGCAATCAAGTTTTCAAGATTTGTAACTTACAAATTACAGAAATCATCCCCGTATACTGCATTTTGGAAAACGCAGCATCATGATACTAAATGCATAATACGGGGATGATTTCTGTATATTAAAAGTCACATATCTTGAAAACTTGATTGCTGACAAGCTAAACATTTTGGGACTATGTCAACAAAGGACTAATGAAAGATACCAAAATAGTTTTTGGGTGGAGTTCCTATGTGTTATGGACAGATATGCATACGGTACATTGTTAAGAGACATAAATCAAAGTCATCAGAAAGCTTATGTTAATTCAAAGAAAAAAAATAAGTCAGCATGTTATAGATCTGAAATCGAAAATATCAAAACAGTCTTTTAGGGAAGATTAAAACATTAACTACTAAAGATAAGATGAACACAGAAAACCCATGGTCATCTTTTTTGCGTAAACATCTTTACTCAACAGGATAGAACCAAGCTAAGCATATCCTTGCTCGATTATTCGTATTGTGTGATTATGAGAGTATTGCAATGCATACTGTGTTACTGCAGATATGAATTCGGTGAATTCTCCAATACCACCTTCATTAGCCCCAATCAACAGCAGGTTATTCACAACCCGATATAGAAGTACATAGTTCACAAAGTTATAAACCTGCTGTCTGTTACTGTATATCTACTTGTTTCCAGACTTGTACTGTACACCAGAGTAGCCTTTGTGTAGCTAAAATAGTTCAACACAGTTCATATCAGTCCCCGGGGTTACCACTGCTAACCCAAGTTCTAGCTTTCACTGTTTACCTCAAATCATTGCCCAACAGAGCGAGCGTGGATGAACACTTGGATGAAAAATGTCAGTTTAGGGCTGCCTCTAACTATTATGTACATGAGACCTGCCCCACTGTCCAAAAGAGCCTCAGTCGCACCTAAAAACCTCCACAAACACTGTACAACATCTACTTTAATCATATAATCAACAATCGTATTTTTTCCAGAAACAAGCCCCAAATTCATTGTGGTATGATTAAGGCATTAAGTGTGCTGTAGTTTAGGGGGCTGTGATCCACTCCTGCTGAATCAGCGGCAGCCACAGTGGAAGTCTTCATTGGGGTCCAGCAGGAGGTTCTTGCGGTCACAGTGCAGGCAGTCCAGGTGGTACCAGGCGTCGCAGTCGTCACACTGGACCCACTGCACCGTGTCCTGCTGGGGCAGGCGGCAGCGAGGTGCGGCACACGGCTCCACCCCCTGGGACACTCCCTCCTCTTCGTCTTCTGAGGAGGACGAGGAGGAGCTCGAAGAGGAGGACGACGAGGATGAGGAGGACGACGAGGAAGAGGAAGGAGGGGGAAGGGAGGGCCGCGGAGGAGGGTGCTTCCTTGGTCTGCCCCGCCGCTTGCTGGAGGGAGGAGAAAAGCGAGGTGTGTGAGTGTCACATTTGACTTTCAATATATTCACTCTATTTCACCAAAAATATATATTTGAGAATGTGAAGAGACAACGGAGCATATATATTTACAGAGAAGGAAAATGTACAGTGAAAAAAAAAATACTATGACATGATAGAGCAACATCACTGTAGTTTGGATGCTGTCATGAGGGCATTCTCACCCAGTGGTGACGTGAAATCTGGCAAACTGTCCTGCCCGTCCACTCTCCTCTTTGCAGATCCTCAGGGACGGGGACGCCAGCGAGTAGCTCTCTCCTCCCACCACCATAGGGGAGTACACTGGGGAGCTGTGAGCCCGTCGCCTTCCCCGCCCAGAAGATGGCGGCGAGAAAACATTCTGCTGGCGAAACACAGAGATGTTCATATTTGGGCCAGTCCTTTGATTGTTGGGGTCGATCTCCCGCCTCTGATTGATATTGAAGGATACATGGTTGAGTTTGCCGTTAGCGACGATTGTGTGACAGTTTGCGATCGGTTTAGGCACAGGCTTCAGTTCAAACTGTCGTTGTACATCCTGGTCCGTTTTGAGTAAAGAAGCGTGGAAACCCTCAGACTCAGACTTGTAGAGGCGCCTTCTCTTTGTCCCTCTCTGTCCATCCTTCAAGCTTCGCTGGTTCCTGGCCTCGTCCGAGCTGCCATCCTCCAGAAGGACAGTGTGGGCTGACTTGCGCCTGCTCTTGGATGACGGCGGGAGTGACTTGGATGAGGCCACAGAGGTAGTAGGTGGAAAGGGAGGAGGGGTGGAGGGCGGGACCAAGGATGTAAAAGGCGGGGAGGTGGAGTTTGGGTCTGTGATATTGCCGTCACTCCTCTTAAATGTCCAAGGAGTCCCATTGATCTTGCTCAGGCTTCCAATGGAATTCAGAATGACAGTCGCCCTGTTGATGGACAACGTGGAGAGATCCAAGTTGGCCACCGCCTTGCGGTCCAGGCTCGTTCTGATTCGGTTCTTCAGGTCGGAGGAGAAGGTGCCGGCCTTGGGGATGGTGATGGCGTCGAAGTCCAACGGCCGCACGCTAACCTTCTGGAAGAGAAAGTAGAACTCTGGGCTCCCTCTCTCTGATTGGCCGCCGAAGGTGAGTGTGTCACCATCTGAGAGCTCCCATTGGACACTTGGCTGCAGACGGACTTCATTTACCCAGGTACCTGGCATGGGAAGGTGGAGGAGAAAGCTCATTAGATGAAAGGCTAGTAGAATAGAGTTGAATGAGACCTAAGGAATCTAAACATAAGTGTGTGTAGTTGTAGAATATGTATAAATAGTTTTTTTAATAAATAACAAAACCCTCCCAACGATAGAATGACAGACACCAGACTACATCATAGATGGATGTCTACGATGGTGATTCTTCTAAGAGCGGTGTACTGTAATCATGTGGGATGGTGTGGAACTCACCATGGCTGCTCCGGTCCTTTATCTGCACCTTCCAGCCCCCCTCGGCCGCCCCCTCCGCATCCCTCTCAGCATGCAGCTCGGCATGGATCCGGGACACAGACGTTGAGTCCAGTGTGACATCACACAGCTCTGCCGCACGGCCCAGCCGAAACACTGAGTGGGTCAGCGCCGGCCGGAACGTGTACAGGTCCCGAGCCGAATCCGTGGAGGACGAGCCGATTCTCAACAGCTGGAAACACGGCTGAACTCCGGACAGCATGGCCACGACTCACCGATCCCCACCCCAGTCAATGACAGCTACTTTCTTACATAGAGCTTTCCATGGCTTAAACAGCACTTAAGTCAATGAATGTGATGAAAAGCTGTCTGTAATGCTGGTAAAAGCTTGGTTCTTAGTATGTGGTGTTGAATGAATTTGAACAGAGTAAACATTAAAACTTTTATTTTTATTTTATTGTATACAATCTATAACCTGCACGGTTATTTTCTGAGTAATGTCACCTAAATATCAGTTGTAATGCTAATAAGTACAGTTGACTAAGCTAACTAGTTCATAAATTGACACTAAAAGGCTGGGGGATATAACTGGCAGCTTGAGGTAGTTCAATCTGAAAAGAAGGAAGAGGGAAATTCTTAGACAGCATGCCAATGATTTCAAACTATATTTTGAAAGCGGAAGCAAAGTACTTTAAGCATATGTTTTCATTTTAGTCTCCTCCATCTCCCCTAACCGAAGTTATTTGTAAGGATTATTTTCTCTCTATTAATAATGTAAAATTAACAGCTGTATAGAAAGACTCATGTTAAGGCCAAATTACAGAGGAGGAACTTATTGATGCAATTAAAGCCTTTAAGTCCTGGAAAACTCCAGGGCTGGATGGCATACCAGTTGAGGTATACCAAACCTTTTTTTATGTACTCAGAGGACCATTATTAGCACTCCTATTGAAATTGTAGATGATCAGATACTCAACAAGGTCTGATTTCATTATTACTGAAACAGGACCCAAGCGGTAAATATAAAGATCCAGTCCATTAAAAAAAAAATGTGAGGCCCCTTACACTTCAGTGTTGTGATGCAAAAATTCTAGCAAAATGCATAGCGCATAGAATTAAAAAAGGTATTGTTGGATATTTTTCATCCTAATCAGACAGGTTTTTTACATGGACGATACACTGGAGATAAGTACTGGGAACAACAGAACACTATGAAAAATCTGGGAAACCAGGCCTGGTATTCATAGCTGACTTTAAAAAAGGCTTTTGATAAAGTACGACAAATGTATTTTGTTAGTCACTCTCACTCCGATATATTAAACTGCAAACATTGCTCTCCACCCTATGGAAAAATGTGTACAATTGCAGGAAATGTGCTGTAAACTGCAAATGTTTCTCTCTGCCCCATGGAAACACAAGTAGAATTGCATCAAAGTTATAAAATTGCAAAACCTTCTCTCCACCCCATAGCAAAATGTGTAGATTTGCAGCAAACTATTTAAAATTGCAACGTTTTCTCTCCGCCCCATGGCAAATGTGTAGAATTGCAGGAAATTAACTCTAAAATTCTCTCCACTGTCAAAGGTTTTGCTTGCAAGAGAGAGAGAGACAGAGAGATGGGGGGGGGGGGGGGGCGCAACAAAATGTAATTTAGGGAACCCAAAAGGCTAGGGCCAGCTCTGACTGCAAGTTTTGGTATGGAGGTGGGTATAAGCCACTGTGGCCCCTCATGATGAGTTCAGATTGTGGCCCCCACCCCCATCAAAGTTGCACATCCCCGCCCTATCTAGTGCATTAATCTGCATCTGAGAAAAGTTCCTGAAATAAAAAATATGCATCAAAATAGACTTTTACATGTAGTATAGACTTTTACATGTAGTATATACTTGTACATGTAGTTGAATAGTAGTAGGTACTACCTTGGCGTTATGAATGATGCACATTGTTCTATGAAAAGCTAACAAATTGGATGTAGCTAGCTAATAGCTAACGTTACTGGATGCCTGACAGACAGTGCTGGTGACTTGCTAGTGTAGCCGTGTAGCTCAAGGCTCGTGCCATGCCATGGCACAGGGACAAAGAAGCAGTGGACAACTGAATCACTTTTGTTAGCTAGCTAGATAGCTAGCTAGCTAAATTACAACGAATATTTTTTGCCAAGATGACTATACAAATGTCAACTTAATATATCGTTACACCGATTAAGAGGTGCATATCATTATGAATTCAAAATACACTACTAGGAAAAAGCATTTTAAAATCAAGGCGTAGACAGCTGGATAGTTCCTGTAATCCACATTGAAAGTCATACCTTCACAAAAGTGGGTCGAATCTGGTGCACTTGAATTCTCTTCCACTGCCTAAATATGATGCTAACGCTGCCGATTGTTTAAAACTGTCGATATACTTTAGTATTTTGATAACTTTTGACTTATGTCCAATTTAATCGTCGTTGTTCGCTGAACGGAGATTTTCGCGTTCTTTTCCCCAGGAAGTCCTTTGAAATTTGGCGCGCCAGCCGGGCTTTCTTGCGCGAGAATCCACGCCGCTTCCGCCCGCCTCTGTGCTGTCACTCACAGCTATGGCACAGTTTTAAATTAAACTCAGTCACTGCAGAGAGAGGTAGCTACCTGGCCTGCTACTACATATGAAACGTGTAGGTAGGTAGGTAGGTAGGTAGGTAGTTAGTTAGTTAGTTAGTTGCTAGGCTGTCTGTTGTTTTTTAGTTTCCTGTAATTAAGAGAGGACATTATTCAAGAAAAATAAGTTGATAGATATAAATACGTTTTTTTTAGAGCATTTCATACCATGTGGCCCTCGCCTTAGAAAAGTGCACTGCAGCACCTGCTGTAATTACAGATTGTAGGCCTACTACAGCAGATCATGTGATATAACCAAATATTTTTGGTGTCCATTACTAAACGTTACAGGTTTTCCTATACAAAACAGCTCCATAGATCTTTCAACTAAACTGCAATTGGCGATAGGCCTACTCTCTTCGTTCTCTATTCTGGAAAACAGTTATCTTATAGATGTCCCTGTCCAGTTGCAGGTGGTTCTACAAAAAAAACAGAGAAAACTAAGAAAGGTTCTTCACAATCTTAGCTTCTACACATCTAGAATTTCCCAGCATCTTTGCCGAAACTAGTCGTTTCTAGGCAAAACGGCCACCTGTAGAAGTAGTTGACAGTGCAACTAAAATAAAGATAAATTACATGCAAGAGGCATATCTCACTCGATACAAAACATGGATTTACTATCTGACTTTTCTCTGGTGTTTGTAGAACCAACTGGACACGGACATTTATAAGATACCTGTTTTCCTGAATCGAGAACGAAGAGAGTATCGCCAAATGCAGGTTAGTTGAAAGAATGTTGGTGTAGTTTTGTATAGGCAAACCTGTAACATCCTGTAATGGACACCAAAAAGATTTGGTTATATCACATCATCTGGTGTAACAATCTGTAGCTTAACCTGCAGTAGGCCCTATGTCTACACATTACAGGAGGAAACTCGATTCACTTCCAGAATTTGACTTCATTATGGAAATGACTTTCCCAACCCTGCTACACTAAGAAGGTTCCCTAGTGAGTTTACCTCAGCTTAATATTTTTGTTCCAAAAACGTAAATCATTATGTTGGAAGAATATATTGCAGACATGGCACTGACACAAGACACAATAATGGCATCATTTTCCATCGCTGTCTCTTCAAAATCCTTTAATGGACATTGCTAATTCATTACAGAAAAAAACATATAAAAAAAATTCTGTGCATGATGCCAAAAGTATAACATTTTATAAATTGTTAATTCTAGCATACAAGGGCATAGTTGTTTGTACAAGATAGCGAAGTATTATAAAAGTCAATGATAATATAGCTGGAGAACCCGTATGAATTCTGGACTTAAACCTAACAGACAAGTTTGGAAAGTAATTCATTTTAAATGAAACAACAATAAAATGCAATAATAACAACTGAGGTTTGCATGCATCATTTCATTTGCAGAAGCAGTTTTCCTGAATAAATCGGACATATTTTTCCACCAAGGTACCTGAAATAAACCTGCCAGGTAGGTATAACATTCAGCTGAATTCAGCTATGGCCTTCGGGCTAGTGAACTCAACCCAGAAGTAGGTAAACTGGACATATATTGCTGAATACTAAATACTACTGAGTCCTGTTTGTGTCACTTTAAAGGATGTACATACATGATAGGCTTAATAATGAATAGTCATACTGTGTTGCCAAAATCACACATTCTTTACCTGTATATAGCATAAAGTCACACCAAGACTTACTCTACCGTTCAAAAGTTTGGGGTCACTTAGAAATGTCCTTGTTTCAGAAAGAAAAGCAATTTTTTTGTCCATTAAAATAACATAAAATTAATCAGAAATACAGTGTAGACATTGTTAATGTTGTAAATGACTATTGTAGCTGGAAATGGCCCCCGTGTAGCTCAGTTGGTAGAGCATGGTGCTTACAACGCCAGGGTTGTGGGTTTGATTCCCACGGGGGGCCAGTATGAAAATATATGCACTCACTAACTGTAAGTCGCTCTGGATAAGAGCGTCTGCTAAAATGTAAAAATTAAATGGCAGATTTTTTTATGGAATATCTACATAGGCGTACAGAGGCCCATTATCAGCAACCATCAGTCCTGTGTTCCAATGGCACGTTGTGTTTGCTAATCCAAGTTTATCACTTTAAAAGGCTAATTGATCATTAGAAAACCCTTTTGCAATTATGTTAGCACAGCTGACAACTGTTGTGCTGATTAAAGAAGCAATAAAACTGGCCTTCTTGAGACTAGTTGAGTATCTGGAGCATCAGCAATTGTGGGTTCGATTACAGGCTCAAAATGGCCAGAAACAAATAACTTTCTTCTGAAACACGTCAGTCTATTCTTGTTCTGAGAAATGAAGGCTATTCCATGTGAGAAATTGCCAAGAAACTGAAGAATCTCGTACAACGCTGTGTACTACTCCCTTCACAGAACAGCGCAAACTGGCTATAACCAGAATAGAAAGAGGAGTGGGAGGCCCCGGTGCACAACTGAGCAAAAGGACAAATACATTAGGGTGTCTAGTTTGAGAAACAGACGCCTCACAGGTCCTCAACTGGCAGCTTCATTAAATAGTACCCGAAAAACACCAGTCTCAATGTCAACAGTGAAGAGGCGACTCCGGGTAGCTGACCTTCTAGGCAGAGTTGCAAAGAAAAAGCCATATCTCAGTCTGGCCAATAAAAAGAAAAGA